TCGTCGATCCCGCGTGCGAGTATTCATCGTATGAACTCGAGAATCGGATCCCAGATCTTATTCGGAACGGGAAAGGCACTGGAACCCGATTCACGAGTTCATACGGATCTTCTTTTTCGCATACGAATAGGTTCACATGAAAAATGTTGTATTGTTGTGAGGTCGGGTAATGGGTGAAGATTTAAAAGTCTTCGACGAACTGTGAAGTTTGCATGGTTGATCGTATGAACTCGAGAATAGGGTCCCAGTTGACTAGAAAGAGACATGGTCGTTTGAGATGGTTATACAAGTAATAGGTAAGCGTGAAATGCTTAAGAAATATAAGCGTAAAGTACTTATATAAAATACAGGCGCAAGGTAGAAAATATAAGTGTATAGAAGTACAGGCGCAAATGACGAAATATAAGTGTGGAATACTTATAAAAACTATATAAACGCAAATATATAGAAAAAAGAGAGAATCATTGGAGGCGGAGAGGGAGAGCGGCGACTCGCTCCGTAATTCGACTCGCCTAATCGGATCGGCTTTGGCTTTCGCGAGTCGACTCGATATATGTCGTGGGACCCGAAGAGGCCGCAAAGGACCCTAGTAGCACAAAATATTTGTCCTATATTTTCTATATATTTAACGAATATAGTACATTTTGTAAATATTTAGCAGACATTTGAAATATTTNTGAAACTAAATACGTCATTGAGATTTTCAAGAAATATTTCAGATATCTTCGAATGAAATCTACAAGAAATCTTAAAGAATTTGTCGCTTGAGATATTTAGCAAAGATTACAAAGAAATATTTAGAAATTATTCTATGCTACTAGGGGAGTCTCGGATTCTCACGAGAGATCCGCGGATCCCGTCACGAAAATGCACGAAAATCCCAGGAAGCGCTTCCAGAAATCGAGTGGCGAGAGTCGAAGCCGCCGGATGGAAACGCCTCGACCGGATAGTTAGGAGATATTAAATGTCACTTTAAATATCCACTATCCGACGGGCCGTCGAGATCCTTTCGAGGGAAAGGTCCCACTCGACTCGATGGGAATTCCTTTAAACTTTTCTTCTCATTAACGTAATTAAGGACAATGTAAATATTTCTTAGTAACGCATGACGATGAGAACTTGCGAGGTTCCCGTATAATTGCTGATAACGTTAATAAAACTACAGAGCTCGTGGATATTTTTTAGTAACATTAAAGTTAGATTAGAATACGTAAGGATCGCACATTATTACTCACGGCTTTCGTATAAACGGAGCGCGCGAAAATACTTTTTAGCACCTATTTGTGTAATTTTATATTACGATCCATCATTATTGACGATGTTCATGCACTTAGCGCGTAAATATTTTTTTTCAACATTAAAATTGTGTTATATTACAACCCATTAGGTTCACGCATCGCAATTGACTCACGACATTTACGTCCTTAGCGCATAAATATTTTTCGCCTACATTAAAGTTAGGTTATGTTATAACCCGCTAGTTTTGCGCATTACATCACTCATGAGATTCGTGTGCCAACGTCGGTTAAATATTTTTTCATCGAAATTAAAATTAGGTTATATTAGAACCCTCGAATTTGGCACATCAGTATCTACTCGCGGCATTCATGTAACGAGTAAATATTTTTCATCAACATTATAGTAAGGCTATGTAGAACCCACCAGGTTCAAGCATCGCTATCTCCCCATGACGTTCACGCTTTAACGTGAAGTGAAACCCCCTTCAAATCAGTCGATTCGAATACAACACTTTTTTTTAAGGGTATTGGACCAAACTGTCCGAAACTTTGACATATGACTCGTGATCATCTAAGAATTATCCTGACACATTCCAAATTTGGATTTTTGGAAAAAATATTTTAACTTTGCCCAGACCAGAACCAAAACGGCGTCGAGCTCTCATATTTCGATCCATATACAATTATCGAAGGCTCCGATATAAGAAACGAAAGGGTCAGGACAATTTTACGGCAATTTAGAACACTCTGGTAATTGATAAACTCGCATTTGAACGTGATCAAGGTAAAAAAGTATTTTATGCACTTCTATGCTAAAACGATGGGAATACGAGGTCTTGGAGTAAAAATTTAATTAACCTAAAAATCACAGATGGCGCAGGGGGTCCCTCTGCAGTCAGTTAGGGTCTCTGAAACCATGAATCCGGGGGATTTCTGGAGTTTCTCTTCGATTTCTTTATAATTATTGCACGAAAACGACAGGTGGAGGATGCCATTTAGTATAATACCCAATATAATTCGGCACAGCTGTCAATATAAAAACGAACGTCGGCAACGTAGCTATTTAGAAAAATCTTCTTTACCGATGTCGATCAAGTTCCTCGACGTGTTTCACCTTCACCTTAAGGGGATGTGAAAGTGGCATCCGAAAGTTCAATCATTCATAAAACTTTTCTACGAACTGGATGTCTCAAATCGTTTCATACTTTAAAACGTGAATATGGAGACCCTAAGGTAGGTCCTGAAACTCGCGAAATTTCATTTTTTACAAACTATTTTTAAAATACCTATAAACAAATTTGTAAAGAATTGAAATTTCATGAGTTTCAGAACCTTCCTTATAGTCTCCATATTCAGGTTGTAAAGTTTCAAACGATTCGGTAAATCGAGTTGGGAGAAAAGTTTTATAAACAAGACCTCTTCGACGCCACTTTCACATCACCTTAAGCGCGGAAAAATGTTTCATTCTCGTTCAAGCGAGGTTAGGTGAGAGAACCGACGAAGTTCGCGCTTCTCGGCCGACGCATAATGGCCAGTCCGAACTTTCCCACTCGGTACGACAGTTCGGACGTTTAGCGGGATATCGTGTTGGGTCGACGTAGAGATCCCCTCGGAGGTGCCTCCAGGTCTGGGCTAACGCTCGTCGCGCTCTCCGTCCCCTGTAGAACGCAAAGGCCCGCGATAAGGCCGCATCCGGCGGCGACGCAACGCCGTAACGTCGGAACGTTGCAACCGGGTAACCGTGGTAACGTCGTCGTAAACGTCGTCCGAGGAGCGAGGAATCTCGAGAGCGTCGATGATCGACCGTATCGGCCGCTCAGGGATCGAATCTAAGACCCGTTAAGTACCGACGGACTACTCGAGCCATCGAGAGAAAGCTCCTCGAGATCATCGACGTTCTTCGTCGGTTTCGTCACTAACCCAGCCACCTCGTTCCCCGGATAACGAGCCGTTATCGAGAAAGCTCCCAAATCACCCGATCGCGATCGAAATAAAATTCCACTGGCGATTGAATTTTTTCAAATTCCTCAGAATTTCTAGTAGCCTAACCTCCTCGCTTCCCTGAAATATCTGAGGGTAATCGCCGCCGATTCCCTCATTCGTCGTCGAATAACGTGAATCGTCATCCTGGAGCTGAATTTTACATTTTTCCGATTTTCGATCATAACCCCGTCGAGATGTTACGTAGCCCATTTCTGGGATTCATTTCCGAGTAGCGTGAATATCATCCATCCTGTGAATACTTTCCCCTTGGCGAAATTTTTCTCGCGGAATTCGCTAAAAATTTGGAGGTTAGGTATTCAGAGGTAGACGCGAGGCGTCGGCCACGAATTAAAGGGCGACTATCCTCATATAGGGCGAGTCAATTTGCGACGTCTGAGTATTTCTAAGGAATTTCAGATTTTTACAAATTTTGAGGATAACATTAGCGAGACGTCATAGAGTCAGTTATTCTTCTTCATCCTCGAGCATCGTGAATATCGTTTCCCCCGACATATATTTCCCCCTTGGCGAAATTTCTATCGAGGAGATCGCTAAAAATGTGGAGGTTAGGTACCCCGAGGTAGACGCCGGGCGTCGGTCGCGAATTAGAGGGCGCGACCCTCCCCTTCGGGGGCACTCGGGGTGTTCGGGGGCCGTAACGGGGCGAGCCAATTTGCGACGTCGGGACGGCGGGGCGCGAGAGCGCTCGGATAGACGGCCGGTCATAAAATCGAGCCCGCTCGCGGGGCGTCGCGGCGCCGCGAGAGGGAGACGCGCCGAGTGATGTCGGTGACAGCCTCCACCCCCGGCCGCGTCCCGACGCTATTACTCACCCGACGCCCGAATACCATTCAAAGTTCGAAACCGCACGCGTTCTCGCGACCCAATTCCTAGGGCCGAGAGTCAGCTGTTGGTTCATTCACCATCGCGAGTGCGTTTCCTCGCGTCCACGCAAGGAATGAGAGGAATATCCCGAAAGAAGGACACAAAAGGTCGCGCCCCAGGTCTTATCCAGAGCACGAGAGATCCTTCGTACGTCGAATGATTTTTTCGACATCCCGGAATCGAGGGTCTTTAAGGACGACGGATAGGGCAAGGCTGAGAGTGGATACGTCTGGAGCGGCGAGCGAGGGTGGTCGGAAAGGGAACGGTAGGGACCCGGGGAAAAGTCGAAAGGAAAAATGGACGCGGGCGAAACGGAGTCGCAATTAAAGCGGGATATGCCCGTTCGCAGGGCCCGACCCGCCGCGGTCTCGGCCGTCGGCTCGGACTCGCGGTTTTCCGAAGGGAGCAGCTCTCTCGCGGCATTCGATAATAATTCGCCCGGTATCCCTCTCTCCGTCGGTCCCCGGCCCGCGGCGTTTTCCCGCCGCGCGCGCGGTGGGGGCCGTGGAGGGGGGAGCGAGAGAGAAAAGGGAGGACTCTCGAGGTACGGGCCGGGCGGGCCAGGATCGCTCCGTCTCTCTCCTGCGTGGCGGGAGGGTCCGGTCGCTCGGCGCTGGCTCGGCGTTCCCGCCGCTCGGGCGGACTCGGGCGGACTCGGGCGCGCTCGGGCGGCCCGGCTCGGTGTGCGCGGCGGCGCGCGCGATGGCGCGCGATGGCGGAGCCGCGGGATTCGCGGTCCGGCCGCCGAGGCGCCACGGTCGCCGGTGGTCGCGGCGGCGGCGGGGGGCGGGGCCTGCGCCGATTGGCCGGCCGCCGGGGGGCGGGGCGGCGCGCACCTCCCACTCCGGCGAGCGGCGCGGCGGTGATTGACAGTTGGCGAACGACTGCGGACGGCGCAGGATCTAGACACGCTAGGCGCTTCGCGCGTAACCGCCGTGCACGCCGTAAACGCTCGCTCCGAGCCCTCTCGCAGCTTCCGCTGACCGGAGCGGTGCCGCTCGACCGCGAGATCGCCTCGGCGCCCGGGTGCGCGACCCGACCGCTCTCTCCCTCTCTCTCTCTCGATCGCGCGGCAAGTGCGCGGGCGCGCGCGCGAGAGCAAACCCTCGCTCTCTCTCCGCGAGGGACGGACCGCGGACGCGGCCACCGAGAGAGATCGCGAGGGACCGAGAGGGACCCAGAGGATCGCGCGCCGCCGTCGCCGTCGTTCCGCGTCGCGTCGCGTCGCGTAGCCTCCCGCCCGGAGCCCGGGAGGATGCCCCACGCCGCAAGGCAGGCCGCGGAACTCCGGAACGCGCTCCAGTGAGACGCCGGTCCGACCGGGCCGCGAGCGAGTGGGCCCGCCGGTGGATGTGACGGGGCGACCGCCGCAGTCAGTCCGAGCCGCCTTCGCCGTCGCAGCCGCCGCGGCCGTCGGCGCCTCTCCGAGCACGTGGTCCCGCGTGATGCCGCGGCGGGACTGACGCCGCTCGCCATGCCCGCCCGGACGAGCAGGCACGAGGACTCGCGCCGCGACGCGCGACTCTCCCGCTGACGGCCGGACCTTCTTCGAGTCCCTCCTTCCGGGGTCGCTGTCCGACCCGACCAGGCCCGACGAGGCTCAGTGGTGTTCTGTGTTTCTCCGGTTTCGGTGGTTCGCGCGTGCATCGCGAGAAGAGGAGTCGACGACCGCCGCCCTTAGGACCCGCCAGGGCGGAGACCCCGGCTTCCTCCTCGAGGAGCGAGCCCATTCTCCTCTCGAACGTCGTCGACAACAGCCGCTACGGTGGCTCAGCACGCGGAGTTCCCCGGCGCGGCCAGGGCGTTCATGGCGCAGCCAAGGGTACGTCGACTCTCCGCGCGCGCGGACGCCCCTGGACTTCGCCGACGCCGTCCGTGTATTCCCGAGGACCGCGGCGCCGGCGACGAGACGTCCGACCTGACTCTCCATCTCCTTCCCTGCAACGGTTCGCGGCTGTGACGGGCCGAGATTCGGGGGGAAGCTCGTGCCGGGTACTCTTTGACGGGGTGGTTGGATAATTGCGGAAATTTCGGTTCATTTCGGTTCATTCCATAGTGGCTGGAATGAAAGGAAGTTTTAGATCGTTCTGGAGTGCCGGAGATGTCTGGAATTTCAGATCAGCCTGAAATGTCTAGGGTTTCGGGTCATTTTTAAATGTCTGAAACTTCACATCGTTCTCATAATTCTCGTAATCTTCATGATACGTACAATTCTTATGATTCTTAATTTCTAAAAATTGTGAAAATTCGACAGATTTTAAACACTAAAAAATTGTAAAAATCACGTAAGTCACGTTCCCGATGGACGCTTGTCAGCGTCGCCGCGTAAAATCCTTCGCGTCGTTCTCACAATTCTCATAATTTTTATAACACTTGCAATACTTATAATTCTTAATTTATAAAAATCCTGAAAATTCGGAAAATTCCGGACACTTTAACAATTGAAAAAATTACATTAATCGCGTTCCCGATGGACGCTCGCTCTACGTAAAACCCCCTTCGACAATGGCGCGGAATCGCGAGACGCGTAAACACCGGTACAGGGACGTCGAGTGTTTGTACACAAGGCCGTAAGTCGGCGCCGAGGACGCGCGACGGAATTCGCATAGGAATTCGTCGTCGCGGTTGCGGGACGAGTGCGCGGCCTCTCCGGGAAGGCGGGTCGACGGGGTCCCGGAAACCCGAATACCGAATTCCGCGACCTAGGCTCTCCCCGGGGAACCGAGCTCGAACCCGGACCAAGGGAATCGATAATCCTTCAGGTAGAGGCACGACGTGCGCACCGGTAATGCTCTTTTGTCGGGGCTCGGGTTCCTCGTAGGGCCGGCCTCAAGCGATTCCGCGAGCGGAATTTTCGGGGTTACGGAGAGCCGCGGAGCGACGTCGACCCGGGGGAAATTTTCTGGCCGCGAAACTCTTGGAAAGACAACCACTGTCGCGGGTTAACGCGGTTAATCCCTTTTCCTAGGGAATTCCTTAGCACATTCGCGACCGCTGACGTGAATTCACGTCATTTTAAATTCTGTTCCTGATTGCCGCTGACGTGAATCACGTCCATAACGATACACGATACAAGTTTGCGGCAACCAGATTCAGAATTTCGTTATTTTCGCCGGTACCCAATATTTGAAACGGAAAAAAATTGCCGGTCGCGAATGTGTTAATACGCGATAGTCAACGTTGAGCAGACATTCAATCTGCGACGGATTGCAACATTTTTCCATGGCGCGTAGTTTTCTTTCCCTTTTCTTTTTTTTTCTTTTTATTTTATTTTAGCCGTTGCTGTGCAATTCCGACCTCCAGGTAGAGGCACGACATGCGCACCGGTAATGCCCTTTTGTCGGGGCTCGGGTTCCTCGTAGGACCGGCCGCAAACGATTCCGCGAGCGGGATTTTCGGGGTTCCGGAGAGCCGCGGAGCGACGTCGGTTCGGAGGAAATTTTCGGACCGCGAAAACCTTGGAAAGACAACCATTGCCACGAGTTAACGCGGTTAATACCTTTTCCTAGGGAATTCCTTAATACGCGACAGTCAACGTTGAGCAGACGTTCAAACTGCGATTAACTGCGACATTTTTCCATGGCGCGTAGTTTTCTTTTTTTTTAATTTTTATTTTAGCCGTTACTGTGAAATTCCGACTTCGCCTAGGATGATCTTCAGAAGCAAGATAAAAATTACCGCGATTAATAATTGATAATAATTTCAGGATGGTCGATTTTAAGATGTTTCACGCGTTACGTACGGTTGACGTTAAATTGTGAACAATGACGTGGACAGCGAAATTTTTATTCAACGCCTTTTTTTTTCTTTTCTTTTAATCGTTGCTGTACAGTTGCCAGATCGCTGATGGCGATTTTTAGAGAGGTAGAGACTGCCACGATTAAATTATTTTGGTACATTGTACGCGGGATGTACGGTAGAAGTTCAACTGTGACACTCACGCTACGAGGACGTTCAACTGTGAACTTGTCGTCGACGAGTCTCGTTCTCTTTTCTACGAAGTTGCTAGGTCGTCGATACGATTGCGCGGAGAAAGAATAAGAAAAAGAAAAGAAAAGAATTTGCTTTGCGCCAAGTGTCGAGAAAATATTTCCATCGATTGGATTGCATTCATGTCGAGAAACATTTCGGTCGAGTGAACCGAATTTTAGTTCACTTGGTCAAACTAGTTTGCTTGGGTCGGCTATAAGTTGTTTCGGTTGAAGAATTTTATCATTTTCGAAATAATACTTCACTCGATATCTTGAAGATTTTGGTTAAACGTAGAAAATTATATAAACGTGTGGCGCGGTCTATAGACACCCGTAATGTAATTAACTAGTTGCCGAGGAATTAATTAATCAATGGATTTTGTTTCGTGTACTGAGTGTATTCGGATGTCACGTAGCAATCGCGTTCCACCGTCGAGTCGACCGAGATTCTATCATTTCAGTTAAATATTGTTTCCTACGCGTACCGATCGAGTAAATATTTTTCTACGGGTACATAACGGAATATTTTTCTGCGGTTACCGAGCACCTATGGATGTTTCTGATAGCGTAAGGGCTGACCCGCGCTTTTTATCACATCTCGGGGAGGTTCTCGGGCAGTTAAAAAATATTCAGGTTTCCACCGGCTGAAGGAATCGGAAATGCATTTTTGAAGAGTCGCGAACTACGACCGAGCGACGCGCCGGCCTCTTGCCGTCGGCAAGCGAGCGCGGTGCCTGGCGCGACGCGAGCCGCGCGCCTCTTCCTCTTTGGAATTTTTTCCTCCGCTTGGTTGAATCGGCCCGAAAAATCGCCCGATACGAATCTCGCCGAGAATCCTGTCCTTCAGGTCGTGGAATTTTCTCGCGGCGAAAGCCGCACTCGTTCGGCCCGAATCGACGGGATGAACGAGAGGATGTCGCCTCGCCGCAACTCGTCTTCGTTAAACTGTCTTTTTCTTCTTCTTTTTTTTTTTTTTCTTACGACGTACTTATATCTACATTTATTTCCATATTTATTTCCAGCAGTGTAGAGGAATCTCTAGGAGTTTGGCGTGGTTTAAACCTCGTTACTCGGGAGTGCGTGAGTCCGTTTGATCGGTCCTCGGATTTTGTCGGTCTTTTTTGCCTTTCCCCCGATTCTCTTTTTTCCCCCCAGAAAACTGAAAACGGGAGATGCGCCGCGCTCGTTCGTTTCATCCTCTTTTCCCGGGCGACGGACAACGGGGAGAAAAGCGAGCGCGGGTTTGTCAGTATTCGAGTCGGGCAGGAAATTCCTGTAGTCCCACGTACTTTGTAGCAGAATTTCCATGAGTCGGCGCGTCGCGATCGCGACGTTCGGTTCGGTGCGTGTTTTCGCCGTACGTAGGACGTCACGTAGATGCGTACTCGGAATGAAATTGCAAAGTAGCGAGGAGCGCGTCTCGGTGACGCCGTGAATTCGCAATCGAACGTCTCGGCCTCGCTCGGCTCCGTCGGGCGAACGACCGTGAGTGCGCCGCTCTGCTCGAGTTGCCGCGAGACCCGCCAACCTGGGAAATCTCGGAGCGCGACGATAGAAACTAGAAGAAAAAAATTAATAATATTAATTCAGAAGAATGGAAGATTTGATAAAAAAAATTTTAATCGTGGAGGGTATGGGAAATGGCACGGTAATTAAGGCTTGTAATGATGTTTTTATATAAATTCTAATCAATGGATGAAGGTTTTAATTCAGTGCGTCGTGTTGCTCGTGTTGTCCCCAACCTGGGAAATCTCGGAGCGCGACGATAGAAACTATTTAGAAGAAAAAAATTAATAGTATTAACTCAGAAGGATGGATGATTTGATAAAAAAAAATTTTAATCTTGGAGGGTGTGGGAAATGGCACGGTAATTAAGGCTTGTAATTATGTTTTTATATAAATTCTAATAAAATGGATGAATTATTTAATTTAGTGCGCCGTTATGCTTGCGTTGTCGCCAACCTGGGAAATCTCTCGGAGCGCGACGATTAAAAGTCGAAGGAAAAAATGAATAATATTAATTCGGAACGATGGATGATTCGATAAAAAATTTAAATTGTGGACGGTGTATAAAATGACTCGGTAATTAAGGCTTGTAATGATGTTTTTATATCAATTCTAATGAATGGATGAATGTTTTAATTCAGTGTGCCGTTTTGCTCGCGTTGCCGCCAACTTGGAAAATCTCGGAGCATGACAATTAAAACTAGAAGAAAAAAATTAATGATATTAATTCGGAATGATGGATGATTTGATAAAAAAAAATTTTAATCGTGGAGGATGTGGAAAACGGCACGGTAAATCGAGGCTTGTAAGGATATTTTATATAAATTCTAATAAATATATGAATATTTTAATTCAGTGCGCCATTCGGCTCGAGTTGCCGCCAACTTTGAAAGTCTCGGACCGCGACGATTTAAAGACTAAGAAAAAGATCAATAATATTAATTCGGGACGATGGAGGATTTGATAAAAATTGAAACTCAAGAAGGGCACGAAAAATGCCCTCCTTCGCCCGGTGATTGAGGCTTGTGAGAATGTGCTACATCAATTTTAATAAATGGGTCAAGATTTTAATTCAGTGCGCCGCTCTGCTTGAGTCGCCGCGAGACCTGCAAACCTGGGAAATCTCGACGATTAAATCCCGAAGAAGAAAATTGAAAGTGTAAAATCGAAACGACGGGCAATTAGCTAAAAATTAAAACCCAAAGAGGGCGGGAAAAATGGCGCGATGATCGAGGTTTGCAAGGATGTGCTATACAAGTTCTAGCGAGTGGATAAATGTTTTAGTTCCGCGTGCTGCTTTACTGGAATTGCCGCCAAAATGGTTTCCCATTCGGCTCGGATCGCG